CCTCCTGGGGACTCGGGGGGCTCGTTCGCATGTGTGGACATGGACATGGCATCGCATCAGCGCTCTGCGCATTTTCAGGACTCGACAGACACGAACACAGAAGCCGGACTTGGCTGAGTATTGATGCTCATATATGAGAAACAAGCATATCTGGGCAGGAGAGGGTAACTGAAAGGCTCGAGCGGACCTGAGACTTCAGTCCTCGGATTGCAGTGCTGCGACTTCTCACTCTTTAAGCAAACACGTTTTACATGGCCCTTGCCTTGGGGGGGGGGGGGGGGGGGACCCCAACATGTTACCGGTAACATTTCCGGGTCTCTCGCCGGGCATCGGGGAAAAACATGCAAACCTACCCCACAATCCGTGTAAGACTTCAAAAACATGAAAGAGACAGAGAACTAAAGCACGTGTGTGCAGGTCTTTGCGTGGGCAAGACACACAAGCTGAAATGTTACCAAGCCTGGGGGGGGGAGGTCTCCTGGTAACATTTCCGACCCCCCAAAAGGTTACCAAAAAACCTTCGGTAACAGACACAGCGCCCCCCCCCCCCCCCCCGGGAAACATTTCCTAAAGCAGGGCCATCGTTTTACGCTTCACAGTCGCCTGCAAAGCGAACGTCCCTTAAGAAACAGAGAAAGGACGTGCTGCAGAAGCAAAGACTACCGGCAGAGTTTGCCTGGGCATTTCGCCCCGCATCCAGACAGAACGAGAAAGGCACCGGGAAAGAGGAGTGTCCTATGGTTTCCACAATGGCCGATAGCTCGGAACGTACAAGGACATGAGAAGAGTCTGTCCCAGAAATATGGCCACACGGAATCGAGCCGCATGTGACACCGCATGAGCCAAAGTCGGATCCTGTTCGCACAGCGTCGTCGCATGTCCAGCGTCAGCTCCATCTGTACACATACAATCTCAAAGCATCTCAAAGCAAGTCCTGCAGCCTGGACCCTTTGGAAAATAAATTCTAGGCTGCAGAAAACTGCTACATCTGAGCGATTATTTGAGAGACGCGCGCGTTCCACTTAGAGGGGAGTGCCCTTGTGACAAAGCCCTCCGCTGGCATCGCACATTCAAGCTGGCAGAAACTTTACCCTCAACACACCTGCAAGGCTTATCATGCATGTTGAGAGAGTGAGGTACATCTGGCTTCGACGCGGGATCACATTGTTGAACCCTCAGCAGCAGCTATAAGCAGAAGCAGGGCAGGACCTGTAATGGATGTCCAGGCATGGCTTCGACTGACATCTGCCAGCAACTGATCAGAAGAAGCCCTCTCAGCTCCAGGCCAGCAAGGGAGGAATCAGAAACGGAATCAGGCAAGCCTCCGTCGCTCCGGCAGAACTTGCAAAGACTCCCGCATGTTGGATGTAGCTACTACAACTACAAGCGCTCACCAAGCTCTCTGGGTGGCACGTCGTGCGCGTTCTGCACCGACAGTATGCAAAGTATTGCATATTTATCGCGTTCAATTCGTCGCCGAAGGACTGATGTTCCACAGGTGCATGGCATCAAGAAGACCATGGTGATGATCCTTTGTTGTGCACAAACTTCTCCAGCGACCACTCGCGAGATGAAATGAAGGAACGACAGGCAGTAAGCTAACATCGTTAGTCATCACACTGATGGAAAATCGCAAACGTCGCAGCATGCATCGAGAGAACCCTTCGTTCCATAGTGCACAGCCTTTTCTTGCATACGGCCCTGTCGAGACCAAGACACGTGAGGATGATCAAGAACGAAAACAGCCAGCAGCATCCTTGCAAAGCGCGCACAAGGGCACAAATGTGCACAAATGTGCATGCACATGCAGCAGCTCGGCTGAAAATGGCATCTAGTCTGAGGGAGTCCTCCTCGAAGCCGGAGAACAAGGTGAAGAGTCGACTCTTTTTGAATGTTGTAGTCCGACCTCATTGCGACCCCGTTGCTCGCTGCGTTTGCCGCTTGCATGCTGCATGCTTCTCCAGGTGGCCCAATGAACCCGCATCTGCCCCGCAAAACGCCAGAACAGCTGCGAAAATGCTGCCTTCTCATTTCAGAAACTTGCGACACACCACCAGGGGCCAAATGACATCTGTTAGGGATCCTTGTGAGCCCGGCGGTAACCGGACGCACCCTCCCCCTCCCTGTCTCCCGCATCAGCGGCATCATCGAGACTCCATCTCAACCTCCCACAATCCAGCTCTAAACGCAAAAAAAACTTCGTTCGCTGTGTTGGACGAAGATGCCTCGACGAGCTTTCCGGATGCACGATTTGCCAACTCATTTGCGCAACAGAATTTCTGGCCACACGATGCACACACGAAATCGTATCCCAAGCGAAGCGTCAAGCGACGTCCGCTACATGGGCTTCGGGCAGTGTTCGCCCATCCTCGAGTTGCTTTCCAGCAAAGATCAGGCGCTGTTGGTCGGGAGGGATGCCTGCCAATCAGGCCGCTGCGGACAGCGAATGTAAGAAATCATTTGAAACTTGAACATGGCATATTACGGCATTTTGGCCTTCCTTGTCCTGGATCTTTGCCTGGGACTGCAAAGAACTTACTTGTCGCTGGTAGCTTGGCAAATACCATGTGGCAGCAACAACCAGCTGAGTCTAGCCTTGACGTTGTCGATTGTGTCGCTTGCTTCCACATCCAAGGTAATCGTTTTTCCTGTCAAAGTTTTGGCCTCGGCAGTGGCAACCGCAGCTGTGGCAGCGGTTCAAATCTAGTTGCACATCGCACTAGCAAAGCGAAGGGCCGACGAAAAACATCCAAACTGGTGCTGCAACCCAACAGCTTACGCAGACATTGGAAGCCAATTCATGTAAACGCAACATGACAGACAGAGCTCATGTGCAGGAACGCGCAGTAAAAGGTGAGGCCATCACAAATATCTGCATTACCGTCGTTTCAAGTCGAATCCGGCAGGCGTCCAGATCGGCAACAATGTCTCACAAAGGCAAAGCCGACAAAGCTTGAACCAAAATGTTCAAGACCCAAGGTCTTTTTGGTACATCAACGGCATGACTTGCGGCACTGCTTGCACCGACTCAACCAAGTTTCTTCTAACTGGTCAATAAGAAACAAGTATACCATCTTGTGATGTTCGTACTCTGAATAAGCCAGTTATTTCAATTATTTTCTAACACAACTGAAAACTCGGGGAAGCAGCTGCTGCAGGTCGATCTACCACCAAGCTGACAGGAACTGTCAAGCATGTGCACACATCGCTACACACACAGCGCGAGATAGAGAGGGTCCATGTCACAGCACAAGGCCCCTGAAGGGTTTAGGGTCAAGGTGTAGATGCCTAAGCCTTAAACCCTTAAGGTTTAAACTCTATGGCCTTAGGTTTCAATGCTTAAATATTACATCTGTAACCCGAAACCTTTTGACCTTAACCCACTTTAACCCGAGGGCTTTAAGGTTCAGGGTGTAGGTTTAATTGCCAGCTTAGGTTTAAATGTCTAAATCTTAAACCCTAAACCTGTAAACCTTCACTATCGGGCTTAATTAAGGGTTAAGGATTTAAGTTTCCAGAAGGTTTAAAAGGTTGAGGGTTTAAGGTTTAATCCTAAACCCTATAGGCTTTAAGGGATTGGAGCCTTAAACCCTGTACAGTTTCGGGCCTTCTCTTTCAAACACTAATCCCTTAACCGACAAGGCGTTAAAGATAAGCCTTGAACAAGCCCTTAACAAACAACCAGAGAGGAGGGGGAGGGAGGGAGGGAGGGGGGGTGTTCTGACGTTTTCGTGCGGGTGTTATGTGATATTTCACAAGATGCTCATTCCAGGATTCAGTTTCGTAATATTTTTACTTCAGGATTAATTCTCAAGAATTCTTACGAATTCTGAACGTTTTAACATTAACACTGAAGATTGAAGATTTCTGGGAGACTCTTTGTGGAAAATCTTTTCAAGTTTGAAATTTTCGGATCTTAAAACCGAAGATTGAAGAATTGAGGATCCCTCAGAAAAGTTCTCCCAGATTGATGGACTTGGGGACCCGAGAATTTCGAAACTTCACAACAACAAATCAAATTTAGAAGTGGTGTTCAAGCCCTAAACCGAAGAAGGAAGGAATGACGATTCCCCAGAAATGTCTTCCCAGGATCTTCGATTTGGGGACCCGAAAATTTCACAAGTTCAACAAAATCAAACTTGAAACTTTCCCATCCTTCAACTGAAGGTTCTAGGAAAACTTTCCTAGGGATCTTCATTTCTTCCATCATCGGTTTTAGGGCCCATGTTGTTTCTTTGTTTTTTTGTTTCTTTTCTTATCTGAATTTTTTTGAAATTTTGACATTTTCGGGTCCCCAAATCGAAGATAAGGGAACTTCTGGGGCCAAAAAAACTCAATTTTGAAATGTTTTGGAAGAGAGGACAAACAAAGGGACGCCCTAAACCCTGCGGCCCTAGACGATCTGTTGTAGAATCGTCTTGCTGAGCTCGGTACTTGACAGAAAAACGGCAAATCGAAACAAAATAAGAAAAAGTATGGATCCAGGGGGGGTACCACATACATATGTATATATATGTATATATATATATATGTCCATTGCACGGTGGCTTGCCCACAGCTCTCTCCTGCGGACGAGCTCGGGGAGTCCTTCGTCGTTTGGAGGAGGTGGGTCGCTCCTAGACCCTGCAGCGAAGGATTGGTCCTACACCTGTTAGGCCAAAAAAGGCCTCCACACAACTGGCTGCGTGCTTTGAAAAGCAGCGGTTCATCGGGAATCGATTTTGCTTTTGCTTGCTAAGCCTCCACCGAGGCGGCGGCCCGGCATGGCGGCAAAATTATGACGTCTCTTGCCAGTCATGTGACAAGTCAAAAACACGGCCCTCTCTCCACGCGCACATGCGCGAAACGCGCGATCCTGATGCTGCTTGACCCAAACGGCCCGAGACCAGACGATCGCCGAGTTCCGAGAGGCAGTGGGCATTGGAGCACCTGTGAATTGCTCTGTGAATTGGGAAGACATTTTCGCCCACGAAGGCATGGACCATGGTCAGCTACAGCCGTCACGAATCATCGGAGCTTTTTTTCTTCCTTGGTCGCAAGCATGTGCTTCTTGCATGACCCTGTCGCGGTGAGCTGGGCAATCATGTGCACCATGTCAATGGATATTACACGGGTTTCTCATCTGCGTGGGCCTTTTTCTCTTGTTGCCTCGGCTGCTTTCACTTTTTTCATCCTTGCTGCCTCAGCTTCGGCACGTCGTTGCCAACAGGCCCACGCGTACCCACCATGGAGCTGCATCGGCGAATGGAGCCGGAGGGAGTTAAAACGCAGGTAAGCCTTAGAGCTACTAGCTGCATACCCTTAGTCCATACCCTTAGTCCATGTCCTTAGTCCGGAGCCAGATTCGCTTTTTGGTTGCTTCGCCTCAGGCTCAGCGCATGCTCAACACGGAGCTCCTACGAAGGAGCAACGCAACAACACGTCACGCCAAGCCTTGCGCTTGGGTTTCTCCTCTTCAAAAGGACTTTTCGATTTCCAAACTGCCTAACAGACATCTTGTCGAGAGAAAAAGAAGAGTCCTCTTCATCGCCTTTGTCATTCCTGCAGCAGCATAGTGAAGATTGGTAATGCAAGGCGACAAGGCTTCTGAAACTTCAGATAGCGATTCCAGATGCAAGCAAGATTCTCTTTGTGTTTTGCTTTCATCTTGCTCTTCGTCTTTTTCTCCTGACATCTGACTAGCAAAGCAGAGCTGAAGCTCTCAAAACATGCTCTGCTAGTGACTGGCACGCTCTCATGCCTTAGCATCTCTCACCTTTGCTTTCTTCTCCTTTGCCTTCCTCGGCATCCCGGCATGCCCATACGCCGGAAACTACCGTGATACACCGTGATCAACAAGTCGAAACTTTGCCTGAGTCTGAGAGAGTCTGAGATTCCCTAATAGGTCCTTACCATTCCTTACCTCAGTGCAGGCTGGCAGCTTGCTTCCATGTCTTTGCCGGCCATTCTCCGCATCTGCGTCTAGGCTCGCCGCCTGGCAGTCTTCTGACTTCTCCTTGGGCATGCAACCATGGTGCACAACAGAATGCTCTTTCTCCTCTCAGGTCACACTTCGAGGTCCTCATCGCTGTCGCTTGCTTCTTTGTGCTTCTTTTGCTTTCTTTTGTCTTTCCTAGTGGAAGCCCAGGAAGCCCAAGAAGCTGCTCTCTCAAGGACTCTCAAGCAAGGTCCAAGTAAAGAGGCACCAAGGCGCCAAGTCAAAGCTGGAGCACAGTAGCTGCTGTTCATACAGCCCAAGTCTGCCGGATGTCTACGGTAAATATAGGCAGTAGGCAGAATACAGCACAATAGCGACTATTGACTAGTGACCACAGCAGCTACAGGGACACAAGACAACAGAGAGCTGCTTTCAACACCAGGCTCAACCGCACGAAGCCCATGTGCCAGGAGTCTTTGCTTTGCTTTCCTCCTTTGCTTCCTTTGCTTCCTTCGATTTTTTTGCGTTGGCACGACTTTTGGAAGACGCCTCATGCAGTCCGAACGCCCACCAATCGGTAACAACAGGCTGGTGAGTCATAATGCAGCCTTCTACAGGGTACACAGTCGACAGTCAACGCAGCACAAGGGCAGGCTAAGCGGCGGATGTCCTCTCCTTCCTCGTCTTCTTGTTCTTCGGCTTTTCTGACTTTTTCTCTTCACCGTCCCGGTCGTCCTCGTCAGCATCGTCGCTGTCCTTGCTGGCTACTCTGTGAGACTCTGTGGTAGCAGCAGCAACGCATCCGCAACGCATCCGCAAGATGCTGCAATCGCAAGCCGCCTTCTTTGCTCCTGGCTTCTTTCGAGCTTGCTCGCTGTCGTCTTGCCCCTGGTTGTTGCTCTCAGAGGAGTCCTACATGGCCCACATGACGCTGGACGCTGGACAATCGAGCCACAAGCAACAACGCGATGTCAGGCCTTAGTCTTTTTCTGTTTCTTGTTCTGCGCCTTCTTTCTCGACTCCTTCCAGGCTGACAGCCGCACTCTGTCGGTTGACACGCGCTTCCGCGCGTGAATCAACTGCACCACTTCCTGACCTCTTCTGACCTGTATTCATGCAGGCATGGGTATGATGGGTGTTGGCCATATGGACGCATGTGCAATGCCCAGCCGAGCTTTAATAAGCTCCAGCTTGATGATGTGTCAATGCAGGAGCTCTCCCAGTTACCTACCTCTACTTGGAAAGCCTGATCTATATGAGGCCTGCAAAGGTCCAAAGACTTCTGAAGAAATGCGAGCATAGACATCGTCCTACCTGGAGCTTGTATGAAGGGTCTGCGTCGTCAGTTTGCTCAAGTCTGCCGAAGTGAACGCCTTCCAACCACAGAAGACGACGCGTTCAAACCTGCCCAGACGTCCTACCCTGCAGAAGCATCAGCCAAACTGCGTCGAGAGTCTAGACTTTTGTCACCATCTTCTGGGTTGCACTTCTCATTTCCGAGCTTTCTGTCTGTAGGCATCTGTCGACCGACATATCTCACAATGCTGGCAACACCAAACTCGTCTTAAAGATTGACAATAAATCACTCAATGAGTCAAGTTGTCTCACGAAAAGAACAAGCAAGAATGACAAAGAAATCCCACGAAATCCCGATGATGAGGCCGGCTCCTTGGCTCTTCGCTCCTCCTCGACCTCCCAAGGTGACAACGTTTCAATTCATTTCTCTTCTGACATGGATGCTGGTGCTGGCGGCTTCCACGACGCATGCTGATGATGCTGATGGTCTTCATGTCGGTTCATGTAGGATCGCTCGTCAGATCCCCTGACCACCAGTTCGCCTCCCTGTTGTCGGGTTTCGGTCGTTTACCGTGTGTCCGCTGCGCTTGGCCTCGCGATCTCAAAGACGCTGAGTGAAATGGCTTTCCTTGCTTCTTGACACTACGGATAGCCAAAATAGGCAAGTGCAGCATTTATGCATAGAGGCGAGAGCCTCTTGTTGTATGAATGGGTGCCAACACGCTTGTAGATGCGCAGATGTTCGCGCTCGGCATAGGGGGTCCTTGCAGAGGAAGAGAAAGTCAAGATAGGAGGTGTGCAAATCATTTTGTGTAAATACAGCTGGTGGTATTGCTGAAGTGCTGCGCAAAAACTCGCTGGTCAAGCTCTTATTATGTTCTCTCATTACCGCTCTGCTACACACGCCAACGTTGTGCACTGTTCTATCGCATTGCTGCTAAATCCTTTGCTCATGCTGTGCCCGCTTGTCCAGTGAGTGCTGCTGCACATGTTGCAGGCCGGATACACCGCTGTTGTTTGGGTGTTTCACGTTTGGTCCTTTCCTTTTCTGCCTCAAACATGTACCAAAATTATAGGCAACAGATATGTTTAAAAAAAAACAACGCATTCTGCAAGCGCGGTTTTGTATTTAAATGTGGTGATGTGCTTTGTGCGTGATTGTGTGTGAGTGCGTTCGCATTGTTGCTGTTGTTACCGTTGCCGTTGCCGTTGCCGATGCCGTTGCTGTTGCTGTTGTTGTTGTTGTTGTGGTTGTTGTGGTTGTTGTGGTTGTTGTTGTTGTTGCTGCTGCTGTTGTCGTTCTTTTTGTGCTTCTTGTTGCTGATATTGTTGCTGCTCCTCTTGGGCGTTCTGCTTCACTAGAACAAAACGAACGCAGCCGGCTGTGGGCGACGCCCTCTTAGATATAGCTTGTAGTGTCATTGTATACCCCTCAATGGCAACACCATGCAATTATACACCATGAAACTCAACCTGCCATTCGAAATCCCTCATGTGCACAAGTGGCAAGGAGCTAGAGCAGCTCAGAGTTGTCGTTCGAACGCGCGCGCACACACACACACACGCGCGCGCGCGTGTTCTACCAGACCATATCTGAGTGTCTGGTTGCAATAGTCGTTCGAAAATTGCCTGCACACACACACACACACACAGATCCGCCGACCCCAGCCGGGGGCGGCGTCGGTGAAGACCCACTGCTTCTTAGTACCGCCCTCACCACCCCCCCCTCCCTCCCTTGATCTTTGATCTGCCACTGTGTGCCCTGATACTTCATCTGTGCACACCGCCTCCACCCTAGCCCTACCCCCCCAACACCCCACCCACCCCGACTACCCTACCCCCCCACCCCCAAGACCTCCAGCGCCCCCACGCTCCTTCTCTGGGGTCAGCGGCACTGGCGGTAGCCGTTAAATCTCGGAAAAGGTCTGTGATTGTTAGAGGTACCATGGATGGGCCTCCAAGCGTTTGCATGGTGCTTGTGCACTCAACTGCAAATTCACGCAACATGCTTGAAGGCTTTGACTGGTTGCTGACAACACTGGATATCTTCTGCATGCTTGCAAAATACGAACTCTTCCACGATTCTTGGTTGGAAACGGGTGGTGGTCCAGCGCCGGATAGGGCCGGACGAGAAAACGGTTCGTATGTGTTTAGGAGATTTGTTCTATTCTACTCTACGCAGCTATGTAAAGCCCTTCTAGTCTAGGTTGTCACATGGTATCACAGACCTGGTTCAGGCCCATGGCAGGCGGAAGTTCCCCACTGCGCCATTTAGTCTAGCACCTTCGCAGGGAACATTCCAAATCATGTGGCGACGTGCAACATCAACCCACGTACCAATAGACCAGCACCAGAATGGCGCAGGACGCCCCTGATTTACTTCTGCGGATCAATTGCAGCAATCTTGCCGCATCTTGCCTTCTGGCGGGCCTTCAGCCGCGCTTTGGATGCTGCGGCTTGTCGTGTGTCCTGTCATCTTTGACAGGACACATGACGAGTATGACAGGTAGTGAAAAGCAGCATTCCCGGAACCTCCTCACTCGAATCAGATGTAGAGTCCTTTGCTGGTCGTCAGTCGCAACAAGCAATGTCGTGCTAGCAAAATAAGGCACTGACAGATGAGCCGCTGTCGCTGTCGGAACTGCTGCTGCCCTGCAAGCGGAACACGGTGCCCTGATTCTGCTTGGGAATGGTGGCATGAATCGCGGCTTGCCCTCTTCATGGGCGGCGGCGGATAACCTCAAGCAGAACATAAGCGCCGCTGCGCACGCATGCATGCCTCTGCGCTCGTGCAACCATGTAGAACGGCACCATGTCTGCGAGGCAGTGGAATTAAACAGACGTGCAACGAATGCTTGTAATGACAAGCACCGGCTAGTAGCAGAAGCAGAATCTTGCTTAGCTAAGCAGAATAATGCTTTGCATAAGATCTGAGCTGCCAGGCCTGGCCACCACGGGAAGTAACCGGAATAACCTTGAGACGGTGCATGGAATCTGAAACGAAGAAGTGGAGCCCTGGGAACACTCAGTTCATTGCTGAAATCAAAACAACTGTATCCGCAGACGAAACAGAATGCAAACTTGCGGTTAGCTGTGATGTGGCTGACATGAGATGGGGGTAGTTATAGAAATTTTAACCATGCAATGAAGGCACCTGAAAATGCATTTTGCTTTCCCAAGCTTTTATTCAAGAATTGAGTTGTCAACTAATTTGTCAAGTATTTGTTTAATGAAGCTCTTCCTGGTGAAGAATGCATAATCATTCACTGTTTACTCAACCATGGCCAAGCGGTGCTTTTGCCGTCTGATTGCCTTTTGCCGCCGCTCATTCGCCACGGCCACACGCTTCAAGTTTTCATTAACTCAAATGTCCTCTCGCTGATCTACATTCCTTCATCCCGAAGTAGCCTTCTTCTACTACGAGTACTATTCTCAAGATGTGCACCCCTATATAAGGTTTCGAGGCAAACCAGATTTCAGACTTGAGGGTTAAGGGCTTGGGGTTTAGGTGCAGCCTCCAATAGCCTCCAGTTTGGCGGCGACACTTCTTCAATCGCGCGATACCCGCAGCTGGAAAACAATCCTTTCCACGCTTCTGGCCTCGCCTCCAGCTGCTCTGGATTTCCACCTATTTCCACCCATGCACGGAACTGGGCGTGGATGACCGTGCTACCTGTGGAACTTTGTTTAAGCACGCAGGCCAATGCCTCGGATGAGTGCTGTCCTTGGAATGGCTACCTGGACTGACGCGTGGCTTACGCCGAACTTACGCGGAAATTTCGAGAAATGTATGCTTCCGGCGCTTGAGGCCCAAAACTCTGGATGAAAGCGCTTGAGCGGCACTGCTCATGAACGAGACCTTGGGCTGGATTTTGGGGATTGAAGGTGCTGAACCCTCGCCAGCCGCAACTCCGTTCTTGGCCCGGAGTTCAATGTCAGCCGGAAACTGAGAGCCTGGAAGCTGCTGGCAGCTCAAGACGGGGCCTGGCCTATGTAAGAACTCTCGCGCAAAAAAGTTGAATTTCGTGGCCCCATCGCGCGGATCTTTCGCAGAGGCATTTCTTCCTGCTGTGTGGGTCATTGCTGACTCAACTTCCCACGAGGACCCTTAGATTAACCCTCAATACGTCGATTCACGAATGAGTTAGTTCGAGAATTATCTCAACAACCGACTCCAACAGCGATGGAATGGTACACGATGTCGTCCAATTTGGCGCTATACACTGGCTATACACTCAGACACTCCAAAATGATACGAGCTTACTCGCATCCCGATGTTTCGAGCGTTTAGGGGTTCAGCATGTTGGGTGTGGGGTGTAGGGTTCAGGGTTCAGGGTTGCCAGTTTCAAGGGTGTGGTGAGGTGTAGGACTTGGGGTTCATGGAGCTCAGGGTGTTTAGATAGGGTTTCATCACTTTGGGTTTTTTCGATGATCTCGGTGAGTGTTTGTGGGAGCTGCTGCAAAGGCAACTTGCCAAGGTTCATGTATTGGGTGTCTCCAGTTGTAGAAGACACTGTGAAGCAACCCTAAACTCCAAACCCCAACCCCCTAACCCTGACTCTGCAGAACCCGTAGCAACTTCCTTCTTCCCCAACGAAACGCTGCAACACAGGTCCGTCAAAGACTGCCTTCACTCACATGTCCGCAGATTGCAAGATTCAAATGTGGACGCTCTAGGACCTGTTGGTCTGTACTCCCCCAGCAAGGCAAATCTTGTATCTTCAGGGATCGCCGGTGTATCCTCCGTCCAGGTGCAGTGGGCTTCGACCGCCAATGCCTCAGCCAGCCCGCTGTTTCCTTTGGCTCAGCTGCCAGGCCTTACTGCCTCGGCCCCACTCTCCATCCAGTCACTCGCGCCCCACCGCGCGCCATCCTACCGTGCGTCCTGGTAGCAGAGATCCTCGGTCTCCTGCCAGTCGACGTAGTTCGCGCTGGAGCCACCAGCTGTGCGAGCGCCGCCATGGCATTCCGAGCACAGCGCCGCAGGCCATAGCAGCGAGCTGCATTCGAGAGGAAATTTTACAGGCTCTGAAGCACCGCTAGGATCAACAGTAATGGAGCACAGACTGCGGGCTTTCGCTGCGGTACGAAGTTTGCGCATCCCGCCCCCCACATGGCTCCACAGCCGCTCGTGGGCTTCATTGACTTCCCTTGGCGGGCTGCCTTTCGCAGATCCTTCGCTCCCAGGCGCCGTGCTGCAGAACTGCACTCATGAACGGCGTGGCTTTGCAAGGTAGGGAATGCCGGCAAACACCATCAGTGTGTCTCCCATTTGTCTCCCGGCCCATTGTAAAGCGAGCTGACGTTGACGTTGTTTGTCTCCCATTTGTCTCGCTGCCGGATGCCGTTGGAGCCCAAGTGCGTAGCATCAAATAACGATAGTCCGATTATCCGACAATCCCACATGCAAAGCATTTTGCGTCAGCTAGTATATCATGTAGAGCCCAAGTGTGTATGGTCATAAGCGTATCAGTGACAGCTGAAAGGTATCATCGGTGACAGCCCAAAAGCATCAGAAGCGTAAGCATCAGAAACATAGATAAGATAGGAAGGGCAAGCAAAAAATGTAGCATATCAGAAGCATATCAGCCACAGCCGCGGGACATATCAGAAGCGCTTCAGCTATAGTCCCGGAGCATATCAGGAGCCAATCTGCTACAAACCCAGAGCAGCATAAGAAGCGTACATGCATCTGCTGCGTATAGCTATATAAATTATAGAAACATTTGCGACCCAAGATCGTACCAGAAGCATATCAGTGACAGCCACTCTGACATAAAGCCACAGCAGAGACCTCAAAAGCATGGTAGAGCGCACCCCCCATTCGTAGTCTGCGTAACTACACAATAGACACCTGCCCCCAAAGAGCATCAGCCTATACAGCAACGACAACATCAAACCCTACGCATCAACCACCAAACAAGCAAACAAACGAAAAACGAATAAGTGGCGAAAGGCCAGCAACACAAATAATTGATCTGCTTTTTCTACGGCTAGCGTAATGATTGAAAAATCATGCAGTGCACCACAGCTTTCTGAGATGCATGCCGGGGTAGCCAGGGTAGCCGGTGAAGCCTGCAAATGGGCTTGTGCTGATACGTCCTTGATAAAAGAAGAAGCCATGGCCTTCACTAACAAACTTTTCCATCATCATGTGGCGAGTTGCGTGCGAAGTGCCGAGTTCCACACATTTCTATGTCAGAAACGAATGCAGACGTGTTTTAAGCATCCCGCGTGCCTGGGTAGCCTGCGGCAAACAAGCGAGTCAGACTTGAATGAGAGGGTGTCGCTTGAGACGTGGCACAAGGATACTGCCTGAAGCGATACTCTGCTCCTGCGTTGCCTACCGTTGCCTACCGTCGCCTACCGTTGCCTACCGGTCTCGATCGGGATTGGCTCAAGACTTCAAGAAGAGTATATGCGCACTTATGGAACCACCCGCCTGGCGGAACGAAAGGCCTGTGAATCGCATGTCAGACTGTTGTTGGATTGTTGGGTCCGTCGGATCCAGTAACATCCAGTAACCAAGACGAAAACCATGATACCGAGACTGCACTCGCAACAGCCGAGCTGCAGAGCACAAATTTGCTGCACCGCTTGAGTCGGGGACTACAACTTATTCACAAATGCATACAAAACGTCGGCCTTCTACAGCAGCTCCTCTTTAGGAGGGCTTTCTGACCTGTTGCATTTCCTCGTCCAAAATCCTTCGCGGTCTCAATCGTCTCAATCGTCTCAGATTGGAGAATTGGTGCGATGGTTCGCTGATGGTCACGGAAGTCCAATTCATGCACCCCGTCCCGTCGAATCGTCCAGAATCTTCCGGAATGATCCATTCCACCCAATTCATCCACTTCTCTAAACTTTATGGATCGCACTTGTCGCATGTCTCACGAGTCTGATTCGACTTTACACGTGCCTGTAGCAACTCCTGGCAACTCCCTTGTCAAGAGAAGGAATCTAGGAGTGGGTACAACTGCAGCATCCAGGTGAGTAAAGGACTGGTGTTCAGGCTCCCGGGCCTATCCTGTTGCAACAGAACAGAGAGAGCCCACTCAATAGCGTCTGTCTTCATGATAGAGTTGCCGCTGGCCCAACTTGTGTAGCATGTCACCTGGAACTATTGCGCGAATTTGTTGCAGCTGAAAGGGCCCCTCATTGTTGCCGGCAGCTACGACGTCAGTGTTGTGGTGGTGGAATGACGAGATCTTCAAGGCCTCATGACCAGAACCGACAACAGATGTCGACGGCGCGCATTAGGAATGAATCGACGGGTGCTTCCGGTCGTACTTCTGACAAATGCGGGCAAGCACCGAAGGACAAAAAAACCGTGACTTCCTAAACATTGAGCCCGTGGCAAAAGGACACATATAACAAGACAGGCAAAAACAAAAAAAGGTATGGCAGCAGTATCGCAGTCCGGCGGAGGATATCAAGGCCAGGGCTGGTCTGGTTTGGGTGTGCTGCACCGCCGGCAATGGCTGTTCCTCACATCTCACAAAGTCACAAACAAAAAACACTTGAAACACCCAGTGACTCAAGCGCGCATCAGCATCTTCGAAGGCACAAAGATCACGAAGACATGGCGTGTTCAATTGGCGAAGAAAAGAATGAACTGAACCCACCCTGATTTAATCAGTCCTCGCAAAGACGAGGTCGTTGCAGCTAGGACAGATCCAGTCGCCGGACATCATAGCCTGTCAAGGGTCCTCTCTCCACTTCCAGGAAATGACTCCGAACACTCTCCATACCGTATTCTGAGCAGCTGATGGGAAAGCATCTGCAGACGACCCCGGAAAACTGTCTGTGAGCACTGTGCAATGCGGCCATTTGGTAGTCCAAAGTCTATTTGATACGTGGGATGTGGAAGGAAGGGTCAGCGTATGATCGGAGCCCATGTGGACATCAGGAAACAGAGAAGCCGTAGTGATAAAATCTTGTTGAGCTTAGGCTCATCTCTCACTCTCCAAGCACTGGCATTGTTACTTATGATGGGCCCCTTGCGATGCACAGCCTTTTTGTGCCTTTTGCAGCGACTCAACCATCATAAGTGTCGGAGCCAAGGACACTCACAACTCTCTGAGCCCGTACCTGAACAGGTGCTAAGCAAGTAGATACACTGAAACATTCATACGGGCCACACATCGCAGACGATCCTCGAACTTGAGAGGCAAAGGGAAAAACCAGGTTTTGGAAAAAAACAAACCGGTATGAGAGGAACTTGGCGGTGCCGTCATGCATTGAAGTAGCTGTTGATGCAGGTATCCCAACTTCCCAGTTCCGAGGCGATTGTGCAGCGCACCTGAAGCTTCGAGACCCTCAGCTTCCGGGAGGGAATGCGCAGCATGCCAGTCGCCCCTCAGTCGAAGCGGACGGTCCAAATTCAGCCTAAAGAGGGTGAAGCATGTGAAGCGCATGTCTTGCCGCGGGGATGTGTTGTACCTGCCGTAGCCTGTTCGGCTAGACCTATCCTTGCGGCTATACTGGCAGTTACTAGCATCACGCTCTGTAGTGAGTGCTCGTTTTCAGGCAAGGAGGTAACTTCACAGGTCCGGGGATCGTGCCCAGATCCACCACATCAGTCTGCATTACAGAGCCGCCGCCGGCAAAGAGCGTGCAGCGAATCGAGGAGAAGTGTCCCTGTGGGAGTGCGCTCAACTGGAACGTGCATTCAGTGGACAGCCCCCCAATTCAAAAAATGACTCCCCCGGACACCCTGGCCCTGCTCCGCATAGTGGGGCACCATCTGTACATCGTGTACCAAGTCCCACTACAATCCAAAATGCTGATCTTAATGTTCATTAATTAATTCTGCGTAACTTTGCGACACTCTTTTCGGCTCCGGCCTTCTGAATGCCTCCGCCGCCTGCGCCGCCTTCGGTCCTCCAAGTCAGCTGTTTCTCCTTGTCGCTCCATACCTGAGGCTTCGGCAAAGCAAAGCAATGCTCAAAATTGCAACGTTTTTTAACCTTCACCTTCCTCATGTTCCTTTCAACTGCCCTCCATGGCAACTTGTGTGGAAAAACTCAGTTGTGCTGAAACGTGAGACCGACCTACATTGAACTGCAAGGAAAATCATGATGCACGCTGACCAACAAAGTATGTGGGTGTGCAGCGCAAGCGCAAAAGTGGTCTTGCGCAACGAGCCCTTTTTGTAGGATGTTGTTTCTCCATCATCCTGACAGCAGGTAAGGCTGTGCACCCTTTGCGTTCAACTCATCGGAAATTGGTAGTAGATGCAACTGCACTTTTCCTAACAACTCGCTAAACTAACCATGGATCCTCGACAAGAGTGAAGTTGCCATCTGCCCCGGCATAGACCTCACAAAGCAGGCGAACATCATCTTCTATGCTCAGCATGGGCAAGCACACCCACAGGGCTCCAATGAGCTACGTGTCTGCCTGCACTTCCAGTGGACCCCCAGGCAAGTCGTCCGTGGACTGCACTGGTGGAGCCAAAGGAATTACCTGAGCGACAGACAAGCAAGCTGTTGAAGATTTACAAGACGCGCAAGCAAAGCCAAGTGGTAATTAATTGTAAAGCAAAAGTTCACCCCCCCCCCTCCCGCGGGATGAGACCGTATCGGCCAAACATTTTCGAATGAGGGCTACTACCTTTCTGAACATCCCAACAGTGTCAGCCAGCTGGCTGATCGCGTATGTGTGTCTGGTGGGCAGTTTGAGTTGGTCTCCAGCATTGTGTTTTCCAGAAAGGATCTCTGTCACACCGCGGCCAAAAGAGCCAGAACTGCATCTCACAGCGTGATAGCAAACGACCTTGTGCCGTGGGTGCAGAAGGCATCCTTCTGCACGGCGTGACAACAAGTTGCCATTGGCAACAGACTCCCTACCCTGCTTGTTGACCCGGCTGATTGGCTCCCATGTCACCCAGAAATGCACGCACCAATACCTTGTCATTGTCTCTGGTCGACCCTAAACCCTAAACCCTAAACCCTAAACCCTAAACCCTAAACCGCGGCGTAGCCTTCGCCTGACTCTATTCTTGTTCTTGGCACATGCTTGCAACATCGGGGCGAACACGATACTGCATGGTGCTTAAAAATGCTTCAAGCAATGCTCAAGCAAAGCATCTGTTCCAAGTCTCACAAAAGCTGGAACTTGGTCCAGGGGCACCTGTGTGAGCTTGGCTGTGGTCTTGCGATGTGTTGGGCGGTGAGAGTCACAGGTCAGGGCCTCCTCGCCGGCATGACGAGGCCCAGTGAGGATCTCGCCCGCTTGGTTGAAAGGGTGCCAGACACCTTCTGGAAGGTATACTTCAGATTTGGATGCCTCGTTCAGCACGGGGGACCTGAGTGAATTACAGAAGCACGCCGATCTGCAGATGGGCGCAGATAGCTGCGCCAGGTACAGAATCTAACGATGTCTGGGCTGTGCACACCAGTATCTCTCCATCCATCCACTGGGATGTGAGATTGGCGACCTGATTCGGAAGGCGAAGTCGGGGGGGGGGGCACAAAAAAGCGAATCATCATTGATTGCCCTCTCTATCAAGCTCGCTGCATCTTTTTCCTTTACACTTCCTGTACTATGTATCCTCTACTGCCCCAGCCACTCGAGTCAGTCTCTGGGTCGTGCCCACCTTGGGATCTGAAGGAAAGATGGCAGCCAGCGGGCGAACCCAAAGCATACCAGCAGAGTAGAGACCTGCAGGACAGACACACACGTTTGATCAAGCCGTACCCGGCAATGCTTGTTCAGCTAAGGACAACACGATGCGCCAATGAGTAGTGGTATGGCAGCAATCCTTACCGTGCTGGCATCTGCGTTTCACTGGAGAGCTGATTGCTGTGAGCAGCATCCCTCCAACAGGATCCAACTGTAGAAGAAGCTGTCTGGCATGAATCCACATGAAAGCCGCAGGCGTTTCAGTTGTCGAGGGTTGGCAAGCCAAGTTGAACCGCCTGTGAACCACCCATGAACCAATCTTGAACCGCTTAAGAGCAGGGTGGACGAAAGCTAGGGCCGCCATGTTTTCTGGCGGGCAACGCTGTCACTCATGAAGCCCAGGCATGAAGGTTTAAGGTCGAGGTCGAAGGGTGTAGGGCTTAGGGTGTAAAGTATTGCAGTATGTTGGCACAAGCTACAAGCCCTGAGGCCGGGGGGGGGGGGCCAGGGGCGCGGGGGCGCGGGCATCGTGTGAACTGAAATCCTATACTATAAGGTTGTAAACAACAACCCCCGCAAACACTCCAAGAGGAGCTAGCTTTCCTGACTAGTGCAGCGTTGTCCTCCTGCAGAATCTTGCAGACTGGCTGCGGTAGCGAAGCTGGAGTGCCTGTCGCCTGACTTGCACTGTTACTTATGTCCACGTGTTCTCACTGGAATAGCATCATCAATTCGGCATTGACAGGGCGGATTGGTTTTGGGAAGGACCTCAATGATGCGCCACCCTGAAAAAATCCTAGCGGTGGAATGCACTTGCATAGGTTCCCTAAACAAGCGAGTTCCCCAAGCCGGAATCAAGTGCAAAATCTCATCGGTACTCCTGAGCCCGTCGTTTGCAAGTGGCCACCGATGCGAGGCGTCTACAAATTTGACAAGGTCAGCGCGACCATTGCTTTTGCATGAGAAACAGGCAAACACACCAACCCTCTTGGACTCATCTTCAACAACTTTCCCCCCTGGCTTTGGTGATGCACTGCGCCTGATGATTGCATGCTGAGGATGCCACATGGCATTCGCGGCATCATCTCCAAACAGCCAAGGCCAGTGGGGCTTCACCCAGAGAGAAGAGTGCACCCTCATAATGGGCATGAACACTCCCACCTGTTACGATAGCACTTGAAGGATCGCGAAAGGTTAGAAAATGCGACAACTGTGCTCTCTCAAGGCGCTGCCAGCCTGATACCATCTGACCAGAAGCTCGGGCGTCGGTTCTCCGGTGAAACCTTCACACTGTTTCGGCTTGAGCCCTTACCGAAGCGCACCACCATCACTTCACCCTGTCAGCGCAGCTGGCGCCTCCAATATCGCAGGCAACATACCTTGCATTTGAGGCTTGAGTTGCCGGTTCCCCAACTCAGCGCACGCACACAACCCCCGTTTTTTCGTTGATGTTTTGCACAGAAACCGCAGTGCTCACATCAGCATACTTCTATTGTGGTAGCAATCACGGATGCCAGCGTCCCCGCCATTACAGCTTAAGAAGATTCTCATCCCACTGGCCACAAAGGTCGCAACGACGAGCAAACAAGACGGCGGGAGCCAGGAAACCTTTACCGCCGTCTGAGGAGGGAAACGGTGGGCCAGCCGCAGCGATGCCGACACTCCCTCTCACGAGTGTCCAATGTCCAGAGCCGCGGACGATGCCGTGCAACAGTGCAACCATTGCAGCTTTGCAGCGCCACCTCAAGCAACTCAACCCAGCAATCATTTCCTGCAAAACGAGGCCTGAAGAAAAAACCAAGCAGAGGCCGTCAAGGTCAAGGCCTGCAAATCCTGCAATTTGTCCCACTCGTTGCTGAGGCCACTGGTGGGGGCTGGTGCCCGACCGCCGTCAAGGCGTGGAGGGAGCTTGCGCTGCTCGCCTCGAGCTGAATGCCAGTGAAGGCACGGAGCAGCTTCTACAATCATCTACAATCCTTCAGTGTGGCGCTGCAGAGAGAGAAAACGCTCGGGCCGTTCATAGGACGGTGACGAGGGCCGCAGGCCCCTTCCGGAGCCCCAGCCGCTCAGA